TCGCAGCCCAGGATGGCTCTGACAAGCAGCTAGGGCTAAAGCAGGCCGCCTCCTAAACGATCTAAAGTGAGTAGGGGTTTTTGTGTATTGTTTTGGTGGGGCAGTTTTTGTTTGTGTTTGTTTGTTTGCTTATTTGTTTGTTTGTTTGTTTGTTTGTTTGGGGGAGGGGGACTTACACCTTTTACACTTTATCATTATGCAGCACAATATGTTTGGCTCCTGAGAATAGGTGATGATTCTAACGTCATGATGTCTTTTCGTGACGATCTGAATTCGGACCACAGACATGCATTACAATTAATGTCCTAGACCGTGCACGTTGACGTACTTCCGGTTCACTGTGAAGCGCACCATTTGACCCAATTTGGAGCTAAATGAAGGACAAAAGGGGGGTGAGGGTGCTGCGCACACTAGACTACAGCGTAGTGAGACTTGGGTTCTGCTCTTCACTTGGCGCCTATGATGTGCACGCTTCGCAGACCTGGTTTTCCAGAGCACAAACTGCTCGGTCTGGGGCTAGGATATAATAATATACCTCTATCATGATTCAGATTAACTTACAGGAATCAAAAACTTCACCCAATCTTCAGAGAGCCAGCCGACGTTGATATGAATATGATGGGCATACTGACATCTCCGTTGGCATCTCTCCCTGTACTAGATGGTCGACAGATCTGGTTTGATTTCCTCAAATGAGTTTGAGCATTCACAGGAATTTTACACAAATACACATACCTTTCTGGCGCAATGATTCTTCTTCTTAGCTTTTCCAGTAGTTGGACGCTGCTTGTCGGACTTTTCTGCAATAAAACACTCTGTCTGTTGCCATTCTTCCTGCCTGGGTTGTTTTGGTTCTTAGCCAGGTTTCTCTGTGTCTTGCTCTCATCTTCGGTTACCCCACCCCCTACCTCTCCTCTTCCCTTTCCTATTTTGCCTTCTATCTTTTTGCTTCTAGAATACGTTTCTCGTGTGTGAATCATGGTTTTAGATTAGGCCTATAAAATAACGTGCATTTTTAAACGTCTTTGAATGTTCTTTAGCATGAATGTCCTATAAACTACAATAACAACAGGGGTTTCGTGCGGCTGTAGAAATTGGCTCCGTCAATTTGACAGAAGAAGACCTTGGGCCGATGTAATCGCAAAGGATAAGCTAGCCATATGACCGGCTTCAAAGGCCCATAACTCCTCATAGCTGTCTTGGGGTGGAATCCGCGTACTTTTGCTCTAACACAGGTGATCTACCCAATTTATAGAGACAACATTGCCTTATTCACCTTAAACACTATCCACACTGGACGCAGAATGTAAACTTATGAAGCCTCGACATTGGTGTTCGTTGTGAAGAAGCAATGCAGCCCTCCTCCTCCTCCTCTTCCTCCTCCTTCTCCTCTTCCTCCTCCTCCTCCTCCTCC